AAATATCCTAATTTCTAATACTTTGACTTTGTTATTTTCGAATTGTCAAAAAGGGTAGATATAGATACAGCCCTTTTCTGAAAGAAAATAAAAGAAAAAATATATATATGTCATCATTCAACGTCAATCATATGCCAAAATCAACAAAATTTTCGGTGTGATTGAGTCCGTTGACCCACTTCCCTCTTTCTCTTTGTGCTCAATGGTGGTCACATTTGGGGTACCACTTTTACATGGTGGGAGCCTTTATCATCTTTCCTACCGACTTTTGACTTGTCTGGTTTGATTTAACAAAACTCATTCTCCATCTTGGTCCCGTGATTTGTAGGTATATATATTATATATATTACATTTTTTAATGAAAAAAAATAAATAAATAAAACTAGGAACCTTCATTCGTAAATAATTAATGGTCTAACACAATATTGTTGGGAAGAGGTGGAATCCACACTTTCTAGCCGTTCAGGTCATAGGACAAGTTGAAATTTCTTATATTTTCCTACTCGGAACACGTTAAGGGTCCTTGATTAAATTTTTAATCCTAAAATCTGCAAATAGTGCTCGAGGAACTTGAGAGGAGGTATAAATAATGATATTAATTTTATTTTTTTGAAGAATATTAATTTTATCAATTTTAAAATAAAGATATAAATTTTTATCAATTTTAAAATAAAATATAAAAATTAATTTATGGACACCTTCAACATAATTTTTTTTTTCTGAAAAAAAATGAAAACCTCTAATTAGTAACTATCCCATCTAGTAACTATAAAATCTTGTGTCAATTGATATGGTCATTAACATATTAGAGGCATAACAAGAGAAAGGTAAAACCACACATTAAGTGTTTGAATTGACATCATAAAAATTAATTTATGGACACCTTCAACAATTTTTTTTTTTTTTCTGAAGAAAAAGGAAAACCTCTGATTAGTAACTATTCCATCTAGTAACTATAAAATCTTGTGTCAATTGATAAGGTCATTAACATATTAGAGGCATAACAAGAGAAAGGTAAAACCACACATTAAGTGTTTGAATTGAGATCATAAAAATTAATTTATGGACACCTTCAACATTTTTTTTTTCTGAAGAAAGAGGAAAACCTTTGATTAGTAACTATAAAATCTTGTGTCAATAGATATGGTCATGAACATATTAGAGGCATAAGAAGAGAAAGGTAAAACCACACATTAAGTGTTTGAATTGACATCATAAAAATTAATTTATGGACACCTTCAACATAATATCTTTTTTTTTTCTGAGGAAAAATGAAAACCTCTGATTAGTAACTATCCCATCTAGTAACTATAAAATCTTGTGTCAATTGATATGGTCATGATCATATTAGAGGCATAACAAGAGAAAGGTAAAACCACACGTTAACTGTTTGAATTGACATCATATTCTCAATTGAGCTCTTATGCGTTTTTTGAAGGTAGACAAGCCCTTAAACCCCATGGTTTGTACAATATTTCCTTCTTAATGATGGACTGCAAAGTTGCAAATAAAGAAAGACAAAAAAAAAGGGCAAAATAATACAAATTGTGGGTTTCAAAGGGCTTATTTCTATAAAAAAAAAAAAAAAAGAATCTAGGGGCTCAATTATGAATATGAAGTCAGTTCAAAACCTTAATATGTATGAGGTTTAGCCCAAGTCCTGAGTCATTTTTAAGAAGAAGAATTTGGGATATCTTGTTACTTTGTCCTATTAAATTTAGTAGACCTAATTTTTAGTTAGTTAAAATCTAGTTAGATACAAATTTTATGTATTACATTTATACAAAATTTTAATCCTTCATCTTCTAATTTTCAATAATTGAGGTTTATTTAACTTTTATTATATTTATTTAAAATAATTATCTTTTTCATTTAAAAAATCATAATAAATTTTAATTATTAAAAGTGAAAAGATAAATTATCAAGATTTTATTAAATATAGTGTATAAAACTTATGTGTAAGTTAATTTTTATTTTTTTTAGTTTATAACATTTAAATTTAGTTGTTTGCTTTTTTAAAGATATCATTTAGTACATTTATTTTTATTTTATTATTATTATAAAAAGAAAATTTATATACATATAAAATAAAAATATTATTTAAAATGATTAATTAAAACTAAATATAAAATTTTATTAATTAATTATTAAGTTCCTATTATATTAAATAAAATAAAATAAAATTTACTAAAGATGCACAGAAAATATATTATAAGAGTTTGTTTGGTTATATTTTATTTCGGAAGGCTTTTTCTTGAAGGTCGTGAGTTGTTTAAGAAGTTAGTTTAGTTTAGGAAAGTCAAATTTCAGCACAAAAATCAAGAACGTGATATAACCGGCTATGTAAAGAGTATAATTGGTTAGTATAAGATTTATAAAATATAACAGTTGAGTTTAATATTATTTTAAAATGTTGCTACGAAACTACACCTTAATACTTGATTCATGTGATTATTGTATAAATAAAATATTAGAGGTTAAATCCTCTTTTTCCCTATTTCTCTTCCCCTTCTCCCAAATCCTGCCATGATTATGATTTTTTATGTTTTTTGTTATTATAAAAATTATATTAAAATTTTTATACATTTGATAATGTGCTACCTTTTTTTAGCTTTTTTAAACTTTTTTTCATTTAATTTAAAATTTAAATTTAAATTTTTTTAATTTAAAATCTCAAATTTTTAATCAATTGAATTACTATATATCATTCTTTGTTAATTGCTTTGGAAATATTATTATATATGATTACTAAAGTATACATAATTATTAATTAAAATTAATGTAATGATAATAAATTAACACTGCTATTGAAATGGCTTGAGAAAAACCGTGTGGAAAATCAAATCCCAAAACAAAAGCAACCTATTAATCAATTATGTGGGGATTTGTAATTAATTATGTACGCGGAAAAAAAGTCTTTTGGAATTTTTATTCTGGAAGGCATTTCAGAATTACATAATCTATTAGGTCCCCCACATAAATGGACCCTATACCCTTTCTAATAAATCTTATCCTAAATCAATTCTCAAGATCAAGCAAACAAAGTTTTTTGATATGACTTACCCTAAAATGTCTTTCTCAGATCCCTTTGTATGTGTCAATATTGCAGAAAGCAATGAGTGATAGTTAGGTGTTATTAGCCCACCACTAATACCAAGAATGCAATTTTCATTTTTTTTTGCAAAAAATAGAAAAATTATAAAAAATATATCTATAATACAAAAATTACATTAGCTGCGCTCTAGGCGCTCTCCTTGTGAAATTAATATTATTGCTTCACATTTTGTAATTAATATTCTATATAGATAAGAAATTAATCAAATAAGAATAAAATGCAAGAAAGAAAAAAAAAAGTGACAATATTTCCAATTGAAGGTATAGGATGAATCTCTACGAAATCAAATTTCTTCTAGGCTGCCGTGAACGAAAGCATCTCTTATCGTAATCAAGTTGATTTTTCCTAGAAGTTCTCCTTGTGGAAATCAAACTTTGTAGTTGTCTTGTGGGAGAAATCCGAAGCCAGTTGCCTCAACTCTTTTGTGAGTGCTGGTGCCCCACAGTAGAAAACTCCTTCAAAAATGAAAGACAAAATATACATTGAGCACATGCGTGATGTGATTGAAAAATGACTAAAACCAAAAGTGGGGTAGTTGGGGTTTGTGGTCGTGGGGTAGGTGTGAATTGTGAACTCACCAATTCTAGATTCTTGATGATGGAGGGCGATCTTCTTGTAGACCTGGCGCCAATTGGGCTTCGCGAAGTGGGATTTGACACGGGTGCCCGACACCACGTCCACCCCATTCTTGGCATGGTGGAGGGACTGTAACATGGTGATGAGGGCAGACCTAGCATCCCCTTCCTCATACACGCTAGTACAGTAGTTGTGCAGCTCTATCACCCCTCTCTCGTCCATCTCCGCCACCTCATTCATTATCCCTTTGAACCATTCAAACGAGCCCTGCTCCCTAGTCACCCAGTAGAAGTAGGCCTTTTTGGTGTTGAATGTTGACCCTTTCCTGTTCCCGTTCCCACTCTCCTCATCCTCTTCCACCCTCATGTTGTTTATAATGTCCTTTACAATGCTGATCATCGGGGTTGCCCCTATCCCGAGCCCCACCAACAGGACCACCTCGTATTTCTTATAATCCTGTGCCGGGGCTCCGTATGGACCGTCGATTAAGATCTTTGGGAAGCTGCACATGTACCAATTCCATTATAATTAATTGCGATAAAAAAAGTTATCATCTATGAAAATTAGACATGTAAAGCTCCATTTAATATAAATTTTACATTCAACTTAGAATTGATTTAATCTAATATCATATTAAAGTGAGATTACCTAACAGCGCTGTTTCCTTCGGCTCTGAGGAGACCACTCTTTCCGGCAGGTGGAGGCTGACACACTTCAGAGAAAACAGTCTTGAGCTGGCGTGTCCAATCTCCTAATGTCCTAATGTGGACACTGACGTAGTCATCACCTGGTGCCGACGTAATGGAGAATGGATGCCTGGTAATTCATCAATCAATTATTAATTCCCAAAAAAAAAAATATTGAAATCCAGCCAAAAGGATAAAGTGAACGGGACCTACCATTCAAAAGGAGACACAGCAGCACAATTCACGAATATGTACTGCCCACTCTTGTATTTGAAACCTTGTGGCTTTGACATTTGCAATGTGAGCACATTTCCAGGATAAACCGCCACTTTCAGGATCTTGACTGCCTTGATGCTGGATCGGAAAGCCCTGATTAACCTCTCGGATGCATAAAGGAGAATCGGAATGGCTAAATACATCCATGTCTGTAATTGGATATATATCAAGATTAGTGCACCCTACAATACATCTTAACTAAAAAAGCCCTCAATTGTGATGTCTTTTTTCAGTGCAAACTGTCGTAATAGTAAACATTATAAATATTATTTTGATATATAATTAATGTAAATTACCGTAATAAAATGTGTTTGCAACAAATAATTTCTTTGGTGGTAGATAAGTAAAAGGTTTTGGAAAAGAAAGAGCTACTTACCGTTTTCTTGTACCATTCATGGGTGAGATAGAGCTCGATGCCGTGGACAACGAGGAGGGTATAGACAATCACAAAGAGGTGGTGAGAATACCAAAATGCGTTGAAGCCAGTAAGCTTCTTGAGGAAGTTGGGTAGGTTGAGCTTGTTGCGCCTGAACCAAGGGGTGGCTAGTGTGAAGGCGATTGCCATCAGCACCACCATCACAACGCCTGTCCACCCTTCCGTTCCTTTCACAAACCACCAGTAGTTCGGAGGCTTCACGTTGAAGTAGTCCTTCAAATACATCTCATACTGTTGTTGAGTGGCGTGAAGAAGCCGTGGGAAATCACAAGTTAAATGAGTACCAGCATGGAGTATGAGTCCACCAATGATTCCAAGCGCAATAACCTGATGATGATAAGATCGAATTTACAAATGTTGTATATATAAGCTTTAACAATTTCAGTTTTTCTAAACTTATGAAAATATAGATGATGAGTGTAACTATTACCTTGTGGAAATTGAGGTTGTCATCAAAAGGAACGACGACCCCCAATTTGGTCTTGTTCCTGAGCCAAGTGATGGTGTTGCGGCAGACGGGGAGTAAAATTAGAGCCATGTTGAATTTGAGAGTCTCTGCCCCTCCCTTGGCAACGCAAACACAATAGCCCATCACATGAAATGAAGGATGCTTTTTGTACGCCAAGAACTTGTAGGTGAATAGACCAGCCAGGATTCCCAGCCACAACATCATAATCCAGACCCTTTGCCAGTTATCCATTAAGAAATACTTGGCCTCCTCATACCAACTTTTTATGGGGTTGGTCTCTTGGGTAGGTTTCAGCTTCTGGCTGAGCATTTGACTCAGAATCCGGCTATCCGAGATTCTCACCGATTGATTTGGTACTTGCAGCAGCAGCATTTCCAGGTTATGAATCTGTTTGATTCAATCCAACATCATTCAAATTAACAACACATTAGTTTTGAAATTAAATTGTACCTTCTGTATGTTTGTAATTAATATATTTGATATAATACCATTATGTATCCAGCATTGTCTGGGTCCAATTCTTCCATGATCAGCGCTGCATATTCCTGAGACTGCTTCTGAATGTTGGAAAGCTTGTTGGCAGAGGCACTCATGCCAATAATCTAGCAAATTTAAAATTCCATATATTATAATATGGTCAATTATTAAGGAGCAATATTTGAATTTGAATTAATTAAATGTGGCCGATGCCGCGACCAAGTCTCACCTCTCTTACTTCTTCCTCCGTTATCCTTCCATCTGCGTCTTTATCCACCCTGCATTTCCAAAATATATATTCTCAATATAACTTATATTATAATTTAGCATTCAATGAGGTTAAAAATGGATTTCTTTATTTACATGTCAAAGAAAATCTGGAGTCTAGAGTCAAAACTCTCGTCGGAAATCTGTTCCCAGAACTCCTTGAGCTGTGTTTTGTTGATTGAATCACCGATCACGTTGTGCCGACGAGCAAGCGCGGCAAACAGCTCACCCGCAAATTCCTTGGATTCTTTATTCATCCCTGTCGTTATCCAAAACATAGTTTGACGAGACAATTTAATAATAATACAAGAAAATAAGGACAGGTCTTGAATTTCTTGGGATCATTTAAGATTTAATTTGAAAAATTATGTACTTATTTAAAATTATTAACTTTTGGTTTGAATTAAAGACAGAAATGATAGGTTTTAATGACGGAAATCGATCGATGATGAGTATTTAGTAAATGTGTTGAAATGTAATAATTATTATTTTAATATTTTAAAAAAAATATATTAATTACCTATGCATTCCCCAAACTGTGAACAGGGAAGAAGGCTGTTGGTGGAGGCCGTTAGCTCATCGAACCGCTTCTCCACGGCGGACCATCCATTTCCGGAGGCGCCAGTCTTGGTGGTGATGAACTTGAGACCTTTCAAGGCGTGAGAGGCGGCGGATTTTGTCCGGTCAAAGCGTCTGGCAGCAGAAGGTCTTCTGGAGAGCGCACGCTTCAGTTCTTGGGAGACCTGCCTGAGTTGAGCTGACGTATTCCGGAGCAAAGTGGAGCCGAAGCCGGAGCTTTTTCCCTCCAGAGTCCTCTTGGCCAATAGCGCCAGCTCGTGATCTTCGCCCTCCACTCCCCCTGCACCCTGCACGCTATGCACTGCTACAGAGTCATCCCGGATGTCCAGAGTAATCTCCACGTAATCATCAGCACCAGTATTAAAGTTGACACTGCTCCCCGTAGAGTTGGTCTTCGTCATGGCCATCTCCGGAGGAATATTAAACCGTGCACTCTTCTTGGAACCTTTCTTCTGTTTGAGAGGCGCACCTAAAGGTCCGCTGAAGCCTGCAGTTCTGTCGCTGGAAATACTCTCGGTATCGGAGTTGTTCTCCGAATACGCTCCTCTGCCGTCCTCCCCTCTCATGATTTCCGGTTTAATTTCAATACTCAAACGTGAAGAAATCAAAGAATCCGATGAGGTTAAATAGTAAGAGAAAGGAGGTGGTAGATATTGTGAGGTAGGTTTTGAATTCAAAGATGCTTGCAAAAAGAGTGAGGGATGGTTGTTTATATATAGATTGAATGGGGAATAGGGAACACAGAAAAATCAGAAACGGTGTGCAGACAGTCATCCGAACCTTACGCGCAGGTCAAAGGGCCCTTCCGACCTAATTTATATACAAATATATATAAATATATATATATATGTATATATTATGTTTTTGTCTTTTACTCTCTTGTTTCGTTATATAATTATTTTAAATGAAATCAGTAATATTTAGTTTTGAGGTTTTTGTTTTGTTATTAAAATTGTAAAATAAAAATTATTATA